ACGTTTCATTACCCGGCTAGGTAACATCTTCAGTGCTAGAATGGGATGGGGTTTGCTCTCTTTTTATGTGCTGTGGCCTCCCTTGCCAGTGCTGGTGGGGGTGGGGGTTTTGTTTTGCTCCTCTGGTATTTCCTTGATTAGGGTATTGTTTGCTGCTTGCTTGTGTGCCCTGTGGTAACCTCTGCTTATCTGGGTGATAATTGCTGGTGAGGAGCTGTTCTGATCTTTTGTGTAGATGCTGTTTATCTCTATGTGTCTGTTGATTGCTGCCTTGTCTGAATACCAGATTCTAGCTTGGGCTGGTCGGGTTTTCTGTTGTTTCACTTTAGCTTCAGTCAGAATGTCGGTAGGAAATGCTTTCATTGGGAAACTAGCCTCAGACTTCAAAGCCACAGCAGTAATGCCAGATGGGCAATTCAAAGACATTAAACTCTCTGACTTCAAAGGGAAATATGTTGTATTCTTCTTCTATCCACTTGACTTCACCTTTGTTTGCCCAACTGAAATTATTTCATTCAGTGACTGTTCTGATGAATTTAAGAAGATAAATTGTGAGGTGATTGGTGCTTCTGTTGATTCGCACTTTTGTCATCTAGCCTGGATCAACACTCCCAAAAAACAGGGTGGACTAGGCAGTATGCGCATTCTCCTGGTTTCTGACACAAACCTGTAATTGCTTGTGGCAGATCACAATCAATGATCTGCCTGTTGGTTGCTCAGTTGATGAAACACTCAGGCTAGTTCAGGCTTTTCAGTTTACAGACAAGCATGGAAAAGTGTGCCCAGCTGGTTGGCAACCAAGTAGTGACACTATCAAGCCAGATGTCAAGCAGAGTAAAGAGTATTTCTCCAAGCAGAAATAAATGTTGTATGTCTTGTTTTGTACAAGAAATGTATTCTATAACATGTGACAGAGCAATCTTTGCCAATTTCTTATTTAAAGAGTAGCCATGTTGTGAGCAAATTGGTTTACTGCTTCATTTCATGAGTCTTTTATTCTAGATCAGTCTGGATCTGAATAAGTGGATTATAGATTGAAATTTGTAGTTTGACTAATTATACAGCCTATTACCCCTTCATGGATCACTGCCTTGTCGTGGCGAAGGGGCTTGTGTAACTCAGTGAAGCC